ACATGGCTTGTGGCTTGTCTTCTCTACCAAACCGTGAGTCCCCAGCTGGGTGTTATACCCGCCCCCAGGTGGGCCCTAGGCACAGAGGCTCGAAAGCATCTGGAGAACGGAGCCCAAACCTGCTTCACCCAGAGGAGCCAAAAGATGCTGTACTCGCACACGCTGCTCTGCCCCGGAAGGAGGGTGCCGGCCACGGGAGGGACCCTATGCAGACCACCGTCGCTGGGTGACCTCCTCTAGATGTTGAAGAGTCACCCCTGCTCTCCCCTGGGACACAGCACAGCCATAAAAGCAGACCCACCCGGGCTTCCCTGGTGGCGCAGTGGTTGAGAGTCCGCCTGCCGATGCAGGGGACACGGGTTCGTGACCCGGTCTGGGAGGATCCCACATGCCGCGGAGCGGCTGGGCCCATGAACCACGGCCGCTGAGCCTGCGCGTCCGGAGCCTGTGCTCCGCAACGGGAGAGGCCACAGCAGTGAGAGGCCCGCGTACTGCAAAAAACAAAAACCAAAAAACCAAAAAACAAAAAACAGACCCACCCAGGTGAGTGGGGAAGAGAAACCTCCCCAGTTTCCAAAGCTGCCGCCGCCCCTCCAGCCCCACGTGGACAGTGAAAGAGCAGGAAGCGAGGCAGGCTCTAAGACTGGACCCAAATGGCATGGGGACAGCTGCCAGGAGGCCCAATATACCTAAACTCCCAATTCCCTACAACCCAGAATAGACAGGCAGTGCAGGAGGTAGAAACCAGATTCTTGTCAGAGAGAAGTGGTTTGGAAGCCTGGCTTGTTGGTTGAGTGATTTTGGGCAAGTCATTTCACTTCCTTGAATCTGTTTCCTTCTCTGCAAAATGGGGATAATAATAGAACCAAACCCCCAGGGTTGTTGTGAAGATTACATGAGAAATGCCACAGAGGCCCTTAGCCTGGCACAAGTCAGCTCGAAACCAAATGCTCAGCCCTGGGGGTCCAGGCTCCACCTGAGTGGGGGTCCCACCTCCTAGGGAAGCTCACCCTTGGGTGTGTGTGGGGGTTCTCCCTGGGAGACCCACAAAGTAGGCAGGAGGGGTCTAGAAATTTTAGACAGAGTTTTCACAGTAAGGGTAAGAAAAAAAGCATATGCATTAACTCTTGATTCCTCAGAACCATTCAATTATCCCGCATCAGGATCTCCTGCCCATCATCATTCACACCCTCTAGAGGGGGAGAGGAGGCAGTCTGTGGGAAACTGTTTCTGAGAACCCCATAAACGCCCTGAACCTTGCCACTGCCCCCACGGCCAGACCTCCTCCAAAGTTCTTAGAGCTGAAGGGTTCTAGGTCACTCCCAGCCGATGGCCTCCTGGATAGAGCAGGGAGGCCAGGATGGAAGAGATTTGTTCAAAGTGGGGGGCAGGGTTGGGGGGTGGTTCAGATCACACCCCCCAACAGAGGCAGCCAAAGTCTCTTAGGGTAACCATCCCCTGGCTCCTCCGTTCTCTTAGGGGTGCCCATTCCCCCAATGCTCAGCGACCTGTGGTGGAGGGGGCAACTCTTGCTGGTCACCCAGCTAGGAGGTAGGCAGCACCATCCCCATTTTACAGGGTAGATAATGGAGGCTCAAAGGGCAGAGGTAGGGTTCAATCCAGGTTTGACTCCCAGCCCTGAGGCTCTCCCCTGCACCAACTGGCCTATCCTTGTCCACGGTCACTCCTGGGGCTGTCCAGTCAGCCCTGCGAGGCTCCTGAGGGGTCCCAGTCATTGCAGACTTCTCCCCCTGAAGACCTCACTTCGTGGGCTGCTGGGGTCCCTGCCTCTGCCCGGTCTTGGCCGGCTGGTTCGGCGCGGTGCCGGGCCCCGCGCTGCCAGCAGGTTCATCAATGGCCGAGGCCGAAGGGACTGAATGGAGGGCATGAACCCGCCCCTTCTTAAAGGCGCCGGCCTCTCCGGCACCCTCAGCGATCCTCCCCCCTACCGAGGGCTGCAGGAGAGTTCCCAGGGTGGGCGGGTCGAGAATGGAGACCGTGAGAAAGAAGGCCTGGGCCAAATGGAGGGCGTGCCGGCCCAGCGACCGTGGTCTGGGTAGGATCCCTCCCGTGGCCGGCACCCTCCTTCCAGGTTGGCCCTCCCCCCGCCCCCGCAGCCTAGGGAAGAGACCCCAGCGCTCCAGCCCCCCCAGCCCCCAGCCAGAGACCCCTCCTCCAGGGGGCCCGCTGCGCTCGCCCCACCAAGGGGCCTGGGCCCTGGGAAGGGGCCTGGGCGCAGCTGCTCCGGAGGCGGCTCGGCCCCTCCCGCCACTCCCGCCCGGCCCGGGATGGGGGTCGGAGAGCCGATCCCCGCCGGGGGGCGCGTCTCCTCCGTCGCGCTCCCTCCCACCCGCGCACACAAAGACAACACGCGCGGACTGGGGCGCGTGCGGCCGCGCTCCCCAGAGCAGCAGTGCGCACACACACGCGCGCCCTCAGGGACGGATGGAGTCCGAGGTGATGGACGGGGGGACGAGGGAACTGAGGACAAGCAGGCCATACCTACAGGCGCGCAGCTGTGGCCGGGAGGGCCGGGGCGCCGGAGGAGCGCTGCCCGGACCGCGGCCGGCCTCCCGGGGCCCGGCGGCTCATGGCCAGCGGGGGGGTTCGGGGTCCCTCCGGGAGGGAGCTGGCGTTGGCGGCGGCTCCTCCCTCCGTCGTCCACAACCTCGAAGGCTCGTGCGCTCCTCACTGGCCCAGCGCGGCCCCGGTTCGGCTCTCTCGGCGGCCGAGCCCCGGCGCTCCGAGCCCGCCCCGCGCAGCGCGCGCCCCGCCCGCTCCCCCTCCTACCCTCTGCCCGTGCGGCGCGCGCCTTTCAGGCCCCGCCCCCGCCTCGGGCTCGGCCCCCTCGCCCCTCGCAGGTCCCGCCCCCACCGCGCCCCCCGCCCTCAGCGTGAGCCTGTTCGGCGCCCGCCGCTGCTGCTCGTTGCCTCCGGGTGGCGGCGGTGGCGGCGGCTGGACTGCCGAGCCTTGGGGCCCAGAGGGGTTAGGAGCTGGCTTGCAGCCGCTGCATTTGGGGCGAGAGTCCGCGGCTGCCGGGTCTCGCGGAGCAGGCTCCAAGCCAGGCTCCGGAATCCCCGCCGTGCAGAGGCATCCCCCGGAGCCGGGGGTGGTGGCCCCGGGAGCGTGGCGGGTGGAGGCCAGGTGGGTGGCCTGAGTAGTAGGGTAGTGGGGTGTATGGGGCGTGGGCGCCCGGCGGGGGCCCCGGACCCGCCGGCGTGGGGACAGTGGGCGTCTCGAGAAAGCCCAGATGTCGCAACGGGAGAAGTCAACGTCTGGTTCTCATAAATCCCAAGGGCGGGCACCACGCCCCCTCCCCCCAGCGCTCCGGTGCAGGAAATAGCCCCGGGGCTACAGGGCAGGGAAGACCCGAGCACGGGTCCCACCTCCCCACCTTCACAGTGATGGGGACACTGACGCCACCCGGGTAGGTCTTCAGAGGTCACACAGGGCTGATGGGGGGGAGGGGAACACAGCCCTGTCTTCCTCACCCCTGTTTGGTTCTGCAGCCCCAAAACCCGGGGCATAGGTTAGGGCAGATCCCAGTCTGGCTGAAAGAACAAAGACTGCTGCTGGCCTTTGCGAAAGCTTGTGGACTAACCCCTGGGGAGCTGGGGGCCTCCAGGAGGCTTCCCAGAAGAGATGGAGGGGCTCCAGCAGGCCTGGAAGGCGCCCAAGAGGAGCAGAAGGGCATCAGTGTGAGCAGAAGTGTGGAAGGGCTGCTCAGAGATGAGACCTATTGCTTGCTCCTTGCGGGGTGCCGGACTCCTCCCCTCCTCTCCATTCTTGCCCCTGCCCCAGGCCCTCAGCTCCCACAGGCAGTTAGATCTGCGTCTCCCTGCCTTTGCTAAACTCTCTGCAGCCCCACCTCTGGCCGTTCTGTGATCTGCCATGGTCTCCCTGCTAGCTGGGAGTGCCTCCATATGTTGCCCTCCCAGACCCATAGTGACCTCTGACCTTTGTGACCTCTGACCTGTAGAGAGCTCTTTAACCTTTCCCAAAGCCATTTCGTATCTCTAATTTCCCAGGAAGCAGGGCAGGCAAAGAAGGTTTTTTTTCCCAGTCTTGTGGATGGAAAGGGTGCCTAGAAAGGAGTGGTGGGCTGGTGAAGGTGGAGACTGCCCCGGAGTCCTCACCTCCTGCCTGCCAGCCCTGGGCTGCCCTCCACAGGGGCTCTAAAGCAAGGCAGGCCTGGTCTGAGGCCCTGGTACCCGGCCCCTACCTTTCCACACACAGACCGGCTGCTCTTTCGCCAGGACCTGGCTAGCAAACACTTAATGAAAGCTTAGGCGCGGACCAAACACCGTTTGGAGCTGCACAGAGGCCTGGACATCTGGCTGGGAACCTGACCTATGAAGGGGGCCGGGAGGCGTGTGGGAGTGTAGGGGTGGGTGCGTGACCGCTTGCAGAGTGGGAGAGAGGGAGGGAGGCTCCACACTGCGCGGCCTGGCTGTGGACCCCACCCTCATTGGAGATGAGAGAGCCTGGTCCCCCAGTGGACTAACCTGGTTCCGAGTAGTGGGCTGAGCTCCACTGGTGGGCTGTCATTGGCCAGGGAGGGTCGTGGGGTGTGGAGCCCTGGGCAGGACAAGAGCGCTGATCGCCAGGGAGGAGGAAGTGAGGGGTACTCTGACCAACAAGGAGGAACTGGTGGGAGAAGTGGACGTGGCTGGGGTGGGGAAAGGGCGGGGGGAGTGATTAGCCAAGAGTAGCTCTGTCATGGGGACAGGAGTGAGGGTCAGGGAGGAGAGGTCTATCTGGGGTGCCCAAGGGCAGGAGGCTCTGTGGCCTTAGAGGACGTTCTCATGGGATAGATGATGAGGGACGCTGGGGTGGGACCCCAAAGGGGACCCCTGGAGTCACAAACTCTAGAGCATTCAGGGCTAAAACTCAGACAGGGATAGCATGGGGGACTCTGGCCTGGTGGACTGCAGGGTGGGAGCTGGGTGTGGAGCCAGTCTCATGGGCCACCTGGCCAGTGGGATAACGCCAACCACCACAGACCAAGAGGAAGCCCTCTGTCTGGGTGGGAGGGGACCCACACCAGTGGGGCTGGGCTGGAGGCCAGATGGCCTAGAACCTGTGACTCAGGGGTGTCCCCATGCAAGCCTGGCACAGGGGGCTTGGTGGGCATGGGCTCTGCAGTGCGTGGCAGGCAGGGCCCAAGAGAAAGGGAGAGTACACGGCTCCAGGGTACACAGAAAGGGAAGCAGGTGTTCACTAGGAGTTGATGTCACACATCCAACCACAGCCTGACAGGCAGTTCTTAAAAAAGGAATGGATTTCTCTTTTTGATTGGGTTGTCTGCTCAAGACAACTCAGACAAGGAATTCCCTGGCGGTCCAGCGGTTGCAGCTCCGCGCTTCCACTGCAGGGGGCACGGGTTTGATCCCTGGTTGGGGAACTAGGATCCCCCATGCCACGCAGTGTGGCCAAAAAAAAAAAAAGAGAACTCAGACACTGTGGGTTTGGGTTTCCGCAAAGCTCTGGATCCACTCAGGGAATTCTTGGGGATGAGAAAAGGGGGAGAGGCCTCCCACGTGTGGGGGACCGTGCCCCATGCCAGCAGAGCAGCTGTGAGGTCTAGCCATAGCTCCTGGGGGTGTCGCTGCGGGAACCCACCCACCAGCCTCCTGTACCCTCAGAGTCACAGAGGGCAGGACGCCGGTGTGGCTGCAACAATGGGTTTATTCAAAATTTGCAAAGCTGAACACGCAAGTGCAAATCTAAGTTAGGAAGATCTGCCAGTGGCCCCAGGGTGGCCAGGCTAGGATGGCCCACAGCCATCCAAGTGGCCAAGAAGCACTTGGGCCCCTCAGACCAGTCCTTGGGTCTGAAGAGCCTGGGGCGTGGGTGCTCTTCCTCACCTAAAAGCCAGAATAATATCTTGCTAAAGAAGAAAGCAAAAATCATAGTGGGTCTGAGGGGCTGGGAGGGGGTAAGAGAAACTATCCTGCCCTCTGGGGCTCCCTCTCTTCTTGGGGTGGGGTGGGGCCATGATAAAGGCAGGTGGCGGGGCTGGACTCAAAGCCTGCCGGCCTGCAAGGAAGGGCTTCCATGCCTTGGTGGGATGGTGATGGATCCTAGGGGAGCCCAAGGAGATCCCGGGGCCTGGCACAGAGAGGCCCAGGGGATCCCAACTGGATTAACCACAGCCAGAATCAGTGGGAAAGCAGTGTCATGGCTGGGAGGTCTCTGCCACCAGGGCTAGTGGTCAGGCTGCGGGTGAGACCCAGGCTGGGTCACCAGCCTGAGATGGGCCTGAAGGGGTCCCTCTGGCTCAATCTGGCTTGGCCTTGGGAGCTTTCTGGATTTAGGGAGCCGGATGTGGCTGAGACCATCTTTTAAGGGAGTCCAAGGAGACCTGGGGACCTCTGGCACTGGTGGCTGGAGGGCAAGGGCAGTCTACATTGGGGATTCTCCAGGGAAGCCTAAGTCATTAGAAGCAGCTGAACAAGCAGGGGTGGGGAGTGCAGCCATCACTGTCCTGTCGGGGAAGCCCCGGGACATCACTGCCACAGGTCACCGGCTGCCGCCCCGTTGTCATTCTCGTGGAACTTGTGCAGGTGATCGGCGAACCTGTGGGTCACAGAAACCTTTGCTGAGGCCGAGTGTGAAAAAGAGAGAAATGTAGGGGGTGGTGGGGGCCATGGAGATCTCCAAGGGGCGTGCACCTTGTGCTGGCGTGGGGGCTGGGGACAGTGGGCTTGGCAGGGGCCGTGGGATGGACCAGATGGGGGCAGTGATGGAAGGCTGGGGGAAGGCAGGGAACATAAGAACGCGGTGGTGCTGGGGGCCGAGGGTGGGTCCTCACTTCTTGGCACAGAAGGTGGCACAGTCCCGCTCCACGCTCTCGCTCCATGCCAGCTTGTAGAGCACCTGCCCAAGGAGAGACATGGTGAGCTCCCTGGGCTGCTCACAGCCACTCCTGCAGTCCACCTACGGCCCCTGGGCTTGGCTTCCTGACACGTGAAGCTTCTCGTGGCCCAGGCTCTAGGATGGGTGGGCCTTAGAGATGCTCTCGGACCCACCGGTTTCACAGATGGTCAGACAGGCCTGGGGATGCGGCTGCCATCCCTAATGCTGCTGGGTGTACCGCTGGCAGGCCCGGGACCTCCTGGACCCTGGGGTCAGAGTTGAAGCCCAGGTTTGCCATGTAGGGGCCATCTTGACTGCCCTCGCTGGGGGGTGGGGAATCCCTGAGGCTGGAGCCTTCAATAGGCACGCCCTACCCCCACCTCTCCCCACACGTGGTGGACGCGCAGGCATCACGAGGCTGTGTATGTGCTGTGTTCACTAACTGGAATGCCCCTCTGTACCCGAGGAGATTCAGCTCAAGATGTCCCTTCTCTGTGCAGCCCACCTGGCTGTCCATCAGTAGAGTCAATTAGACCTGTTTTCCCACCTGTCAGCCTCCCACAGCGGCCCTTCCCTCTACCAAGCCCCTCCGGGACGGGCCCTGGGTGGAGTCAGCCGGGCTGCTGCCCCAGCCAAAGAGCCTGATGGGTGGGCTTGTGGTCCCCAGGGTGGGATGAGGCCCCTGATGGGGAGAGAAGTCGCCAAGAGCAGACGCTGTGCCTGGGGGTAGAGGGGGGGAACGTGGTGAACGCATCCCTGGCCGCGCCTGGACACTCACCAGGAAGACCAAGCAGTGCAGCCTGGCGGTAGAGGGGGGGAGCGTGGTGAACGCATCCCTGGCCGCGCCTGGACACTCACCAGGAAGACCAAGCAGTGCAGCCTGGGGGTAGAGTGGGGGAGCGTGGTGAACGCATCCCTGGCCGCGCCTGGACACTCACCAGGAAGACCAAGCAGTGCAGGAATAGCGTGTAGCAGAAGCCGATGGTGCGGGCCATCTTGTTGGAGAGAACCAGCCGCCCCTGGGGAACAAGCGAGGCGTGAGTAGGGCTGGGGCAGGCCTCACCCACCCCTGCAGGGCTCACCCATCCCAGGGCAGCAACGGGAGGGAAGGCCAGGCAGCTGGCCTTTCACTCCGGTGTTTAGGCTGGGAACTTGGGCCACAGGAATTGTAGGGAAGGGCGCCCCCTGCAGCACAGTTCCAGAACCTACCATGAATTATGCTGCTGTCCGGAGTGGGAGGGACCCTGTTTTGGGTCGCATAGCTACGCGGGCCTCTCACTGTTGTGGCCTCTCCGGTTGCGGAGCACAGGCTCCGGACGTGCAGGCCCAGCGGCCATGGCTCATGGGCCCAGCCGCTCCGCGGCATGTGGGATCTTCCCAGACCGGGGCACGAACCCGTGTCCCCTGCATCGGCAGGCGGACTCTCAACCACTGCGCCACCAGGGAAGCCCTCGCATAGCTACTCTTGACGGAGTCTGTGAGGGGCAGCGGGGTCCCTGGGGCTTTCCAGACCGGGCTGGAGGGCAGGTGACAAGGTGCCCAGAGTCAGAGGCCCAGGCCTGACACGGTGGGGGCACGGGGCGGGGTGAACTCACCATGCTGAGTGTGGCCTTGTCCCAGGGGCTTAGGCTCAGGTATTTCCGCTGCCGCTCCTGAAGGAGGAGGAGGGATGAGGAGAGGACCCCAAAGGCTCACCAATGCTCCAGCTCACTGCAGAGAGGGACCCTGCCCTGCTGTCCCTGCAGAATCCCGGGGGCTTGCCAGAGGCTCCCTGGTGCCCAGCCCCACTCAGGGTGACATCCTAGGCTCTCCCAACCTCTGTGTGAGCAGGGCCAGTGACGGGAGCTGCTGCCCCCTCTGCAGTGGCCGATTCTGCCTACAGCAGGAAGGTCTTCAGGGCAGGGGGAGGGGGAGTTACAAGCTCCCCGCCCCCCCACCGTTAAGTCACCTGACATTGGGAGCTCTTTGCTGTCTGCCTACCCCCAGAGTGTGCACCCAGGGCTAACCCGGTCGCTGTCACACACCCTCCCATAGCCCTCAGCATGTGTTCCTGGCACTCTGGGCCCACCCCGGGTGGACCCCGGGCCTTCACGGTACCATAGCGAGCCTGGGGGCTGCCCTGATGGTCTGGTGTGTCAGGGTGCAGTGTGGGGGGCTGCAGGGTGAGACCGGGGTTGGTGGGGGGTGGGTCTGGAGGGAGGCTGAGGCCAGGTGAGCTGGTGGCGGCCAGGTCCACGCACCCGCTTGCTGAAGGAAGAGAAGGGGTCCAGGCGCTCCTCATATTGGGTTGAGTACCTCAGCTCTGTGTCGTCGCTGCCGCCGCCCTGCGAGCAAAGGAGGAGGAGAGACCCCTGTCACAGTCAAGGGACCCAACAGGAAGGCCAGGGCCCGAGGAGTGCAGGCCGACAGCATCCTAGGAAGCCCCAGTTTCCTCCTTAGCACGGTGGAGGCGGGGAGAAGGCCCCGGGTGACAGTGTGACATGGATGGTGCCACGTGTCCAGGGGCACTGCCCAGGGTCAGAGGTCTCCGCCTGGGGTCAGGGCCACGGTGCCTCAGGGCAGGTAGGGGAACTAAGGCCCAGAGTGGGGCTGGAATGTACAAGATGGACAGGGCGGGGCGCCGTACAGGGAGGTGGGTTTGGAGGGACTTCGTTGGGAGTGTGCAGGGTGGCTGTGTAGCCCAGGCCAGCACCTGGGAGACGAGGGACCCCCAGACCCCCAGCGGGCCACCCAAGGTGTAGTTTGCACGGAGTCTGGGCGCCCTCTGGTGGCCTGAGAATGGCTCCAACCGGTGGTTTGGGGGCCGGTGGCTGAGAGTCTTGTCCCAGGGAGGCCCCCAGCCAGCGTGTCACCATCCTTCTACTGCCCATTCTGCCTCCCCACAGTTTCAGAAGGGTTTTCTTGCACAAGGTGGTCCCCTGTGAGGCCCGGGGGCTGAGAGAAGCCAGGGAGGGCCCTCCCGGCTCAGAACGGAGTGGGTAGCTTTCTGTTGCATTCTCTTGATAGGTGTTTGGAATGTTGGACCAAATTCTGTTCTTTTGTTTTTTAATATAAGCTTAAAAGATAAGAATTCCCCCGGCCCAGGGACTTCCCTGGTGGCGCAGTGGTTAAGAATCCACCTGCCAATTCAGGGGACACGGGTTCGATCCCTGGTCCGGGCAGATCCCACATGCCACAGAGCAGCTAAACCCGTGTGCCACAACCACTGAGCCCGCTCTCTAGATCCTGTGAACCACAACTACTGAGCCCGCCTGCCACAACTACTGAGCCTGCGCTCTAGAGCCCGCGAGCCACAACTACTGAA